TGTGCAACGATTGAGGAAGTGGGAATATTTGCAGTTTCATTGTATATCTCAATCAATTGATTATTTGAAGATTGATGCATACCAATCATAACAACTACATCGTCAACGTCATTAATCTATATTGCTCCATATTTGAGTGGATTCTCTGAAATTATGTGTCGATAACTCAAACATAAAACATGGGCTTCAAGTTTTGTTTCAGTCTTCTGCTTCATTTGGTGATGCGATATATCTAAAGGGAACATCATGTTTACAGGCTTCTATGACATAAGCATAACATCATCATCAATTTGGATAGCTTGGCCATTTGAGTGGACCACTGTATAAAATTATTAGTCATAGCTTGAGAAAGGTTTTTGCTTGTTCAATGCACTTATACAAAGAACTACTTCTTTGGTTGTTAGTCATAAATAGAAAAGTCAACTTTTTCAACAGAAACATTTCAATGGCCAGTTAATTATCTTAAATAACTTTTCAGTGATATATCAACTCATTTCAACAAACTTTTCAGTGATGATATATGACTTTATAATAGAAAAACGTGCATTTCTATTAGGCAAAATAATGCACCATGGCATAAACATTTTAGTGCCCAATTAATTATCTTAAGCAACTTTTCAGTGATATATCAACTCATTTCAGTAAACGTTTCAGTGGTGATATATTATTTCATATCAGAAAAACGTGCATTTCTGATAGGCAAAATAATGCACCATGGCAGAATCTTTTCAGTGCCCAATTAATTATCTTTAGTAATTTTTTAGTAATATATCAACTCATTTAAACAAAATTTTCAGTTTTGATACATCACTTCATATAAGAAAAACATGCACTTGTCATTGGCAAAATAATGCACCATGGCATAAACTTTTCATAAACCTATTAATATGTATGAGGTGAAAGTTAAATTACTTATTTGAAGCAAAAATTTACGATTATGACAACTATTTGTGCGATAGTTTTTTTTTTATTGCAAATCGTTAACCATGTGTTTCGAAAAAAATATTCAACTAGATGAGTTGAAGTTCAATATAGAAACAAGGGTTCAACTCGGAAGCAATAGAAGAATATCTTTGTTATATTATAGATTTCCACTGTCATGCATGAGGTTTCATCTAAGGGATGATGTCGACCTTGCTGGTATGATTGAGACATACTTCTATCATTCTTTGTCTGATTTTGATTTGTTTATAGAGCTCGCTAATCTCGACCTTGCTCGTACAATTGAGAATGATGCTTCCAGCTCGAACATCCCACCAACTCAGACAAATGACGATGAAACAAACATAGATGATGGAGACCTAAAAGCATGGTTCCAATTTGTACTTGAACGACAACAAGAAAAAACATGGAGAATTGAAGAACTTAATATTACTTTTGACGAGTCTATTGATTACGAAGATTAAAACATCATAACAAATATTGCTACGTTTATGATTTCATTTACTGTTTAAGGTGTGTGTAAGGTTAGTTCTATTTACGTCCTTAACGTAATGTATTAAGTTCGTTGTTTTTTCTTCTTAATGTCAAGTTCACGATTCGTTGTTTTTGTCTCCATAATGTAATGTTTCATGGTTTAATTTAATGTTTATAGTTCGTTGTTCTTTTAAACAAAAATGTATTACAATCTGCTTAACTTTTTAGTCATACATCAATATTACCGTTCGAACTTCTCACATTAAAAAGATAAAAATAACAATTGCATTTTAGGCTACAACAACTCGTCACCTCGAGGTGATGAGTTTTGTAGATTTTTTCCATTTTTCCATTTAAAGTAAATAACTGTAAAAAATATTATTATTTAATAGAACTCGTCACCTCGACTTGATAAATTTCATAGAAATTAATTAAATAATAATGAAGAAATGTAAAAATAATATATTTCGAAAATCATCACGTTGAGGTGATGTGTTTCTTGTGTACTACGAAAAATATCGTAGATCCCAAAATAATTTTCTGTCATCCTATATCCTAAAATTTTTATCTTGATTGACCTATTGGGCAAAAAAAAAAAAAAAACCTAGGTTGAGTGTGTAGGTGGAAAAACAAATGCCAATATCAGCAAATCTTGGTGGGAGCCCAATCTCATAATTTAAGATCCTTCGTGATTAATAAGCTCAACTTATTGGACCGAAATGAATAACCCAACAACAAATATATATCATCTACAATCGTAATTATTTTTACACCTAATTCTTTTCAGAGTAAATTTTGTATCTAGTCCCTCGTTTATTCATACGACTTTTTCTGATAATTCAATTATTTTTTATAATCATACAAAAAATTATTTTTTAATTATCCATAATTAAAAAATTAACGGTTGTATTAATGTGTCATCATAAGATAATGTCACATCATTATAGAAAAAATTATCATACTGACAGCTCTATTTATTTTTATCCGCGAATGGCCGAAAATGAACAAAAATATAACATTATTTATGATTCTGAAAAAAAAATTAGTTATATGACCAAAACAAAACTGTGAGAATAAATATGTGACTAAATATGTAATTTAGTTTAAAAAATTAGATATAATAATAATACGATACAACCTTAAAGATTGAAATATTATTGAAAAGATATTATTAATTAATTTATTAACTATACATAAAATTATAAGGCATATAAATCCTTATGTAAAGTGCAATTTAGTGTCTTTCTCTTTTTGGTAAAATAAAAAGGAAAAGAGGAAAAATATTCTAATGACCCAAAACAGGAGGAACAGTTGACTCACAGTTTAAGAAATAAATATTTCTGATTTGTAATTTATTTTCTAAGGTCTAAGCTCTAAAGTGAGTCAGTCAGCACACCAGTCCCACATTCTTCTCTTTCTTTCGTTTACTTTTTGAGACAAGTATTCAAAGTAGAAATGGATTAACATAATAATATTATAATATCAACTATGTATTGATATAAGTTTTGATTTAATATAATTATCTATCATATATTTGTATTTAGTTTAAATCAAAATTTATATACAAGTAAATAACATTAAAATATTTGTATAATATATAATATTTGATAAAAGTTTATAATTTTAATATATATTAAATAAATTTTTTGTCCTCAATCAGTCTTCCAAGAAAGGACAGCTTGTTTCTGTACTGCAGCTCCAGCTTTGATTTTTGTCAGGAAAAAGAAGCAACAAACACAAAACCAAACGAAAAAGCAGAAAAACAGAACCAACTGTGTGGGTTTTTAGACTTTTGGTCATAGGCAAAACCTCTGCATTTTGGTTCTTTCATCGTGCTCATTTGGAGGTTTTTTTTTTCTTACGTGTGTTTTTGCTCATTCTCTCATCTTCTTTTTGCAGTTTTTGATGTGTTGATTTGAGTACGCAACGAAAGCGTGGCAGTCGGTCGGCTATGCCTCTTCGTTTCCGAGGGAATCCGGCCACTCGCTTTTGCATGTTCCCGAAAGCAAAGTCGGCCGCGAGCTGCAATCCCGGCGATGCTCCGGTTTACCTGAATGTATATGATTTGACAAATGCTAATGGCTATGTTTATTGGGCTGGCCTTGGTATATTTCACTCCGGAGTGGAAGGTTAGATTCATTTCTTCCTTCGTTTTCACGAATATTAAGTATATAGTTCGATTTTGAGTTTAAATTATTTCAGATTCAAGTTGTTTCGAGTTTGAGTTTTTCGGTTCGTATCATTAGGCAAATTTTGTGTCATTTGTTTGGATCATTTCTATGTCTGCCCTATTGATTTTTGAGTTAGAATCCAATTGAATTCTCATGAATGATGGATGCAATGTTCCGAGTATACTGCAATTGATTTTTTATTATCCCCGTGTATGCTTACAGTTCATGGTGTGGAGTATGCCTTCGGAGCTCACGATTACCCAACGAGCGGTGTGTTCAAGGTTCAACCTCGACGGTGCCCCGGCTTCAAGTTTAGGAAGTCAATTTTCATGGGGACGACATGCTTGGATCCGGTCCGGCTACGAGAGTTCATGGAACGCCAATCTGCAAGCTACAATGGTGACACATACCACTTGATTTTTAAGAACTGTAACCATTTCTGTGAGGATATATGTTACAAGCTGACTGGGAACCAGATGCCAAAATGGGTGAATCGACTTGCAAGAATTGGTATTTCTTTTCGGTCGACATTTATTGGATATTTTGCACACCCCTAATCAGAAGTCAGCTTTTAAATGTCCTTTTATCTTCTTTGTAGGTTCATCATGCAACTGCATACTTCCGGAGGCACTTAAAGCTACTGCAGTGCGCCATGACCCCAACTTCCAAGCTGATAACGAAAAGAAGAGGTTGAGAAGTGCCTTCAGTTGCTTATCGTCGATCCCTCATAGGGAAATATCGATGTCTTCACTCTTTTTACACTCTCACTATAAAGGCTGTCTACCACCATGGGAACTAAAGCGATCGAAAAGCTGCTCGGATCATCCCCTCAAAGCATCAGATCATCATAGTCACTTGAAGGGCCAAAATCCACACTAATCTGTTCTGTTAAATGTATGAAGCTCGGGGTTTCGATATTTTCTTCGAGCTTTCCTTAACCCATGCTTGCAGACGCACTTGTTGATGTTAATGGGTACATTGTGTCTGGTAGATTCTGGTGTAACTGATGACATGCAAAATCAATTGTCATTGATCAGAGACATGGACAAGCCCTACACCGGCCACTGCTGTACGGTTTAGCAGAGTTTAGCAGACTCTAAACTTGAAACTGAATGAGAACTTACCAAATAGAACAGAATGCACGAGGAGTAGAAAGGTTAAGAGGATAAAGCACATATATTTGCTTGCAAAGATGAAATAAATCTATGCATTGATAAAAATGTCTCAAGTTCTACATCCCTGAACTTGTTTTCACTCGAATAAAATTAATAAAATAATAATAATGAAGTCCCAGCCAATTTCACCTATACGTTATACTGTTACACAAGCACACAAATATCTCCAAGTATGCTCACAAAGTCCAGACCATATGTATCATAAAAGTAGGTAGAGACAGTCTTACAAGTTATAACCAAATATACTGCACCTTTCTGCTCCCTATTGCAAGTTGCAGCTACATACACCGGGGAAAGGAGGTTTGACCGACAAGCCCACCTACCATTGCTCTTATCACATTGGATTTGGACAGTTTCAGGTTGTCCCTCAAAACGGTTGCAGCATCGTGATTGAGGGGATCCTCAAAGTTCGGTTGCTGCATGAATGACAAGATCATAAACTCGATTTAAACGGAACTAGCCAAGTAGAAAAACCACAAGTAAAGGAAAAATCAATACCAAGAAGAGATGAAACAATCCGTATATTACGGTTTTTATGTTCAGAACGGGTTTCCAATCTTCTCTTAGAATATTGAGGCAAACATTTCCTTCCAAATCATTGTTGGGATGGTACACCTGCAAGCGAGATATACTGTTTATAACCGACTTTCCGTTTTGCTAAGCATACAGCACTATCAGAATGCGACAGTGTTACGGTGGAAGACATGCTAGTGTAGTGTACCTTTGTCATGCATTTCACCTTGGGTGCCTCGTGAGGGTAGATGGGAGAAACTTGGAAAGTGAATGCAAATTTTCCACCTCTATGACCAGAAACCAAATAAGCACTTGTAAACGAGAAAGACTAGAATATCAAGGGCAAAAATAACCGACACGTAGCTCGGACCCTTAGTTCGGAACCTAGATGCAATTTAATCACAAAGTTTAATGCAAGGTACACATACGCTGAGAGGTATATGCATTGGATTGCCAACCCCATTGACAATAGTGTTAAATGACATAATGATAAAAAGAAGTTAGGAAGAAAGAAGCTCAGCTATAACAGTTGAAATTTGAACAAATTAAGGAGATCGTGTCAAAGCATAAGATAACATACGGATAAAGGCCTTCGTCAGGCTGAATGGTAACTTCGAAATTCATCAAGTCATCTTTTCTGTTGGGAAATGATGTGCTACATGGTTTTGGTAGATTCAATTCGCTGATATATATAAAATGAGGAACACAAAAAGTCATAATACGAACTCTAAAAGGCTCCGACTGACTAAATGCTTTCAAGCACAAAGAAGAAGAAGACAAATGTTCATGGATTGCTCTTGAATAACAAACCGATTACGAGCAACACAATTTTCTTTATATTGTATACCAACGATGTTAACAGGTAATCACAAAGACACGGATAGGCACAAGTTTTGATTTTGTTTCGGTCGAATCGAACAGCCTCGGGAATCAATATTATCAAAACCATTTATCATTATAACAAGTCGAAAATTCATGAAAGAAGAAATGATATAATCTCAAGAACTCACTAAACATTCAAATTATCAAAATATAACTAAAGAAACCTTTATGAGGGCGTAATTCTACTGCACTTTGCTTCTTTATCGGTGCCTTCCCGTTGGCATTTTCTACAGTTGCCTCTGTTTTTCCTTGACCTTAGATAGGTTGATCATTTCTTCTAAATTAGGACAAAATATGAACGATAATGTAAGGTTACAGACAAATCTAATGCACTCTTATATACGATAAAAAGTGTTAAAAACATTCTAATAAAAGTTCACAAAATATCTTTTGCAATCCAGAAATTATTACAGAAGTGGACATCCAAGTCTCCAAGTCTACAAGATAACTGCATAGAGAAGAGTAAACTGATATCTAACCAAGCAAAATGCCAAACAATTAAGAAATTTATATCCCTAAATAAGAAAAGCAATGCTATTGAAACAATTGGTCAACACTGGCAACCTCTAAGATACCTCTGGACATTGGTATGGTATAGAAAAAATTAAGCATTTCCACGCAGGACATATACATACATTGGATACTCCCCTGAAGTCTGAATAGGATGCACAGTAAACAGCTAAAAGACAACTTTGGAGACCGTATGAGAAAATTAGAAATCAAAGAAGGTTGAATTTGTTCCCCCAAAAATGTGGTAAGCTGATCACAGACAGATAAGAAAGCAATAAACAGTGGAAAAAACGCTTCAATCTTTTTAAAAACCCAATTAACATTGAGTCTCACTGTAACTTAAGGCCAGCCTTGTTCTAATGATCTCTTCCAAAAATACCATTCAAGAACTGTAGAGATTCAACAAACACAAAAAATGGAATATCAAAAGAAAGTTTTTCATTATATTTGAACACGATTCAACAGGAAGGTAACCCAAGTTCTACAGTGGTAATAATCAAGATCCAATAAACATTAGCAACACAAACAAGGTCAAAACTCTCATGTAAAAAGGGGGGGGGAACTCCTCGAAAACACATACAAAAGACTGAAACGAGGATCGAATTGGTCGTTTTACCTGGTTAAAAAAAACTCTTCGAATCCGTTACGTAAGAGTCTGTTTTTCCCTCCCCCCTTTTTTTTACCAATTTCTGGTTTTGGCCCCTCAATCATGTTTAAATGTGAAATCTAGCCTCTATTTTAATCCGATATAATCTATCCTCTATATTATTTTATAATATCATTAGTTATCCTAAGTAATATACTCGATTGCACGAACCAACTTATCTTGGTAGTTAAAGAAATTGTTGTTGTTCCTACTTACCTCGGTCAAATGGTTGATAGTATTTAAAACAGATACTACTTTGTAATCACTTTAGCATAATAAGTAATATACTCGATTAGTTAGTCTGATTAAAATATGAATAAATAATCACTTAACTTTTATTGAACTTTTGATTTGGTCATTATCAAATTTGTCACTAAACTTTTGAATTACTCCTATTTTAGTTATTTTATCGTTAAATAATTAACGATATTACGACATGACAGATGATAGTAAAATGAATTCCTTTTGTAAAAGCCAAATTTATACCATAACGATATCATTTTGGATCCATGTTATTTTTTTGTTTTTACTTTATTTCCCCTATTTCCTTTTTTTCTTTCTTTCATTTCTCTCAATTTGCTTAGACTTCGACCACTACTCAGCGCAATCAACCACTAATAACGTCATCGACGATGATCAATGAGTCCCAATTTTTTTTACCAAATTCGTGTCACCCTCTTCAACACGAATCCAATGTTTGTATAGTAGGAAATCATCTTAAATTTTACGAATCAAGTGTTGAACGCTTCGGTTTTTTATTCTTTAATCTCCACCATTCGCCATTGGATGGAACTCAAACAAAAATATGTTGCTCCACTTTCTAAGAAAGGTTTTTATACTTTGGAATCTTTAAATTTCATTGCTCAACTTTTTTCTCATTCTTGTTTTGATCATTAAAGTTTTAAAAAAGTAATTTACTTACTAAACTTTCGATTTGCTCCTATTTACCGGTGATTGAAACATCTTTTTCCAAATCCCAATGGTGGGGAGGTGGAGAAAGATGAAGTAAATTGTTTATATTGGTTCCAACTAATCAGATGGTAGACATTATAGATTAAAGTGGTTTGAAGTTTTAGAAATTTTGAGTTTAAGGTTGAATTTTATGAGTTTTAAAATGATTCAAGTGAAATCTAAATTGATTGAATGGTAGGAGACAATGAGACAAATTCGTCAATATCTTGAATAACCAAAGAAGATGTTGGAGAATGGTTATTGCAATGCTAACGTGACAAAACAATCAAATTGTAGAACTTTCATTATTGGAGGAAGATGATGAATAAAAAAAAATGAAAAATGACGTGGATGATACTTGGATTTCATATCAATAAAAAGCAGTTTACATGAATCACGTGATTGCCATATCATTATTCTATTTATGAATTAACACTCGAATGTCTAAAAAAGAGTAAATTAAAAGTTTAATAAATAAATTAAAATGTTTTAAACTTCAATGACAAAAGTAAGATAAAAATAAAGTTGAATGATAACATTTATAATTTACTCTAGAAATAAAATAAAAACTAACCTTCAAAACTACATTATCAATGAAAAATATAAGATTTACATCTTTGTATATTTTTAATAATTTCTTACATCTTTGTATTATTTTGGCAAAAGTTTCGGGATAATGTATCCCAAATTTTTAATTGCCCAAATAATGCACCATGGGAATTATTTCCCAGGATAGGCCATTTTTTTACAGTAAACCGTGAAGACACCATGTAATCGTCATGAGCTGATTAAGACGCTGGGATTTCTAGGCATCTTTGAGCCACAACACAGTGAAGACGCGGTGTAATCCCTATGTTTTCGAGATGAAGACCTAGGGATTACCATGCATCTTCAATGCAATTCCCGTGCCTTCTACAAGCCTACACCACCACTGTCGTCCGTGCATCACAGCTACCTTGATGCATGTGTGCGCCTATAAAGGCTGCTCCATGCACGTGAATGCATAGGGTTTAGGGTGCTCCATGAATTGTCATGCATGCAAAGTAGGTGTTGAAGAGTAAAATCAAATCAACTTTGTTTTCAAATCTTGCAAAGCCTGCTCTCGTGTGAAAACAAATGAGTTTGTATAAAAAAAATAATTTTAGGTATATATAGACGACGTGTAGTGTTAGATTGAACCAAAATTAGGGAGGAGTGAAAGAGTGAAATCTCTGCTAGAAGAAAAAATAGTAAGACTAAAATAGGAAGACTGCAAAGCCTGTTTAAAGAAAGAAATTTTCTTTCATTTTCTTAAGTAAGTATTCAAATAATTTATATAAATGTGTAGTATTTTACCTCGTATTGTTCTGTTAAATGATATTGTTGAGTTCATTTACAAATATTTTTGTTAAATGATATTGTTGAGTAATATTTTACCTCGTATTGTTCTGTTAAATGTGTATATCGGTTTTGTAATGTTTTTAGTTTTTATTTGAGTTTTGATAAAACAATTAGTATTGATTTAGTATTTAGATTAAAAAGATAAAACAATTAGATCATTTTACCTTATTAACTATTGTTAGATTGTTTTTGTTCTAAATATATATATATTTCATATGTTGGGAAATATGAGCAACAAATTCTTCATGATTGTCCATTATAATTGACAGATTATAGAGAATGAGGTCGGTGTTGTTTTCAATATAAAAGACCTATAAATATGATGTTTAAAAGAGTCATCACATTTATAGAAATGAAAGAGAATATAGAAAGAAAAATACGAGCTACAATTGATGGGTTGAGGTAAATGTTTATGATATGTCCCAATCTAGTCACGTATGCTATAATACCACTTGAAGAAGATGATATTAGAACTATGATTAAGGTACATGACTCAACAAATATTTCATTTATTGAGTTATTTGTTAAGGTGTATAAGATATTTGATGTTATTAGGTCGTCAAGAAATGTGGTTGGAAATTCATCTAAAATGACTTTCGAAAGTGAGTTTGAGGAGACGACATACATGCCAATAAACAATTTTATGGTGATGTTGGAAAGTGCAAATGAAGTCGGTGGGGCATCGGCAACAGCAAAGTATGGGTAAAGAAACATACATCTTCTAGAATCGACTATTGATATTGACGCTGAAAATTTTGGGGAGAAACACATGATGATTCCAGCAATGATGAAGAAACCGAAGAACCTGATTTGGTTAACGATGACACTATTTTTTATGGTGGTGAAGTTGATTTGGAACATACGGTATCGTATCAATCTACTCACACATTTACGAGATAGATTAAGATGCGATGAGAGAACCTGAATTCCCAAAGATACTCATTTGACTTTAGGCTACGTAGCTGAATCATCCAAACACTCAGGTGAATTATCTGTTGGGAGGCAATTTAGAGGGAAAAAATGAAGCTACATTGGCAATTAAAGAGTATCGCATAAAAGGCTATGTAGATTACAAGGTTGTAGAGTCCAACCATAAAACTTTGCATGCGAAGTGTGTTAAATATGGCTCCGAGTGTAAGTGACTAATCAAAGTGCCCAAAATGTTGAGGCAAGATGTTTGGGTTATCACAAGGTACAATAGTCCTCACACATGTTTACGGAGTTCCGTTGAACAAGGACACCAACTATTAGATTTCGATGTAGATGTAATATGCCAATATGTGAATGTGTTTGTTAAACAAAACCCTAGGATCCTTTGTTCAGTCTTAGTTGCGTCTATTTGAGACCAGTTCGAATACAATATAAAATCCAAACCAGTTTGGTATGCGAAGAAGGAGGCAAAGAGGTTGATATATGTCAATTGGGATACATCATACAATGAGTTACCAGATTTGTTACAAGCTATGAAACGATTCTGTTGAGATTGAAGAAGCTTAAATTGACAACCGAAAATATTGCCAAGAAGGGTTGAATTGGTTTTTTTATATTTTTTTGGGAGTAAGGAGTAAAACAAGGATAGAAAATATTGCATAATGATTTATAGTGATTCGACTTTCTTAACCAAAGTCTACATCAACTACCTAAGCTCCCCACTTAGGATTTTCCAACAAATCCACTAATTTGTTCTCTTTTTTTTTTCAAGGATAAAGAGATAACCTTTACAAACTCCCTAGCTTTTCAAAGGCTCACCTAGAACCAAAACCCCTTTACAAAGGAAAAAGATGTAAACAAAGAAAACATCTAAAAAGGAAAGTGCTTACAAGAATTAATCACAAACAAACACACTATTTACAAGAGAGAATAAAATAAGAGTGAAAAACTCTTCTCTTGATGATCAATGCTTAGATAGGTGTTCTCACCATTCTTCAAGTGTCATCAACTTGTATTTATATGTTAGAATGATTTTGTGGTTGTTTGTAGCTATTGGGGATGATTAGGAGCCGTTGGGGATGAAATTTCGGGTAAAATAAAACTACCCAGAACAGAGGGTATTATTACTCCTACAAGGAGTATCAGTACTACCTTTGTTTTTTTAAATAAAACTAGTCGTTACTAGCCGTTGGGCCTGACGGTATCGATACTAAGCCTATGGTATCAATACTACTATGTAAAGTAGTATCGCTACCACTTAGGGTATCAATACATATTTTGCATTCTGGAATTTGAGCAAGCTGATTGTTTACTTCCTAAAAAGGCTACTTTTAAGGCTTTTTTCACTTAAGTTATTGTTTGTTTAAAAGATCATTCTAGGCATTTTAGGATCATGTAGTTGCATATAGTTGCATTTGTGGTGGTAGTGCTATTTTATTTCTTAATGATGCCGCTTGAAGGAAAGGTGCAGTTTGTCTGTGGTGTGCAGGGAATAGCAAGAAAAAAGGACTAGATGGGAAGTAATGGTGTGACATCACACGTTGTTGAAGCAGATTGAAATGCCTTGGCATTAGCATTTCAAGTGCAGAAAATGACAAAAAAATACAGCTGTACGAGGATAGCTGGCTCTGCACGTGAAATGATTGTTGTAACCGCCTGCCAGAGCTGCTATGGGACCACTGCCACCTGGAGGATAAGGTTCACGCACTACATTTGACTCTAGGGGTATGAGGGGTATTTTGCACCCAATAACCTCATCATTACCCCTAGATATTTTTATTATATATTACACCTCATGGGAGAGAGGAATGAACACGTGAAGAGGCATACACATAGAGTAGAAGAAAATCATATTTTTATTTCCTTTTACTTTTCTTCTTCCTTAGGGTTTTCCTCCATTGATTAAGATCCAAGGAGTGGCGAGCTAGGTGCCGAGAGAAGCTAGCGAGCTAAGGTGATTTGTGGTGGCCGAGGAGACCTCCGGTGGCGCATCAAAGGCTACTTCTCACTTCCCTTTTTGCTACTATTTTTATATTTATTTGTGGGATGTTGGAACGAATATTTGCACGAATTTGTGTTTGGATATTTCGAACCCCACCATGAACTAACTTATTTGGTGGTGGTTGGTTTAATGGATGCTTATACTTTATTTTAATGGTATATTTAAGTTTATTTTGGTTCTTTATTT